CATGTCCCCCAACGTCCCCCTGGTCCCCTCCCCGGTGGCTCTGGGACGCCCATGTCCCCTTGGTACCCTCCCTGGTGGCTCTGGGACCCCCAATGTCCCCTCCTTGGTGGCTCTGGGCCCCCCATGTGCTCCGATGTCCCCTTGTTCCCCTCCCCAGTGGCTCTGGGACCCCTCATGTCCCCTGACGTCCCCCTGGTCCCCTCCCCAGTGGCTCTGGGACCCCCTATGTCCCCTTTCCAGTGGCTCTGGGCCACCCATGTCCCCCTCCAACCGCTGTCCCCTCACCCCATAAGTGTCGGGCATCGTGGGCAGGAAGGTGCCACCGCTGCAGGTGACAATGTCCCTCATCTGCTCGGGCTCAGGGCGGACGCTGGGGGTGACATGGACCTCGTAGCCCTGGGGACATGGAGGGGACACAGGGGGGCACGTCTGTCAGTCCCTCCCCGAGCCCCCGGAATGTCTCCTGGGGGACAAGGACACCTTGGGGACACTAAGGGACATCAAAGGACACCCCTTGGGGTTGTCCCCAAGTCCACCACGCTGGACCAAGGCCATTTGGGGGGGAGAGGGGGTGGTGACACAACTTGTGGAACAGAGGACACTTTTGGGGACAGGTTGGTCCCTCGCAGCCACCCCCAAGCCCCTGAGGCCCGAGGGGCCACTGTGGCGCTATCGGGGGACATCGGGTGACAGCAGGGGACATCAGGTGACACTGGGGGACAGCAGAGGACATCGGTTGCTGTGTCACCCAGTGGGTGCCCCACTCGGTGGAGGGACAGGGCCACCCGTTGTGGGGTTCAGGGCCCCTCAGGGAGTGCTGGGGCCACTTGGGAAGGGTTGTGGCCACTTGGGGACAGTTGGGGACGGTCACCTGGAGCAGGGGGTGGCGGCGGGCGCAGCGCAGGGCCTGGGCCAGGCTGAAGCCGAAGTGTTGCTCCTGTTGCCTGTCCCGCACCAGGAAGGGACCCGTCCCCAGGACACGGCCGCTGCTGGTGCTCTGGGGACACACAGGGGACAGGCGGTGGCACCCCCCGACCTCAGGGACATCCCCACTCCCAGCTCCCTCCTGTCCCCAAATGGGGCCCTCCCTTGTCACCCAAAGGCCCCTCGTCCCCAAGGATCCCACCCCCTGTCCCCAAGGCCATCATCCTCTGTCCCCAAGGACCCACCCTTGTCCCCAAGGCCACCATCCCCAAGGACCCCTGTTGTCCCCAAAGACCCCTCCATTGTCCTCAGGGACACCATCCCCTGTCCCCAAGGTCTCCACTTGTCCTCAAGGACCCCCCCCCATGTCCCCAAGGCCACAATCCCCTGACCCCAAGGACACTATCTGCTGTGCCCAAGGACACCTCCCCTTGTCCCCAAGCCCCCCCTCTCCTGTCCCCCACCCCTTTGGGACCTTGTGGAGCCACTCGGGGGTGACGATGGGGACACCACGGGCCACCGCGCAGAGGAACTTGACGGTGCGTCGGACGCGGTCGGTCACCAGGTGGGTGCAGTCGAAGATGGAGGTGGCCATGGACCCCCCCAGTGTCTTCAGGGCCACCTCCATCCCCGGGGAGGCCACCACCCCCGTGAACAGCACCTGGGGACATAGTCACACCATGAGGACACATTGGGGACATCCCTGGGGAAGCCACCACCCACGTGACCAGCACCTGGGGACACAAGGACACCATGGGGACACATTGGGGACATCCCTGGGGTGGCCACCACTCCCATGAACAGCATCTGGGGACAAGGGGACACTGTGAGGACACATTGGGGACATCCCTGGGGTGGCCACCACTCCCATGAACAGCACCTGGGGACAAGGGGACACTGTGAGGACATTGTGGGGACATCCCTGGGGTGGCCATCACCACTCTAAAGAACAGTGAAGGATGCAGGGACACGATGGGGACACATTAGGGACGTCCCTGGGGAGGCCACCACCCCTATGAAGAGAACCTGGGGATGTGGGGACATGTTGGGGACATCCCTGGGGAGGCCACCACCCCTGTGAACAGTACCGGGGGACAAGGGGACACCATGGGGACATCCCTGGGGCCACCCCCACCCCTGTGAACAGTACCTGGGGTCATGGGGACACGTTGGGGACATCCCTGGGGTGGCCACCACCCCCATGAATAGGACCTGGGGACATGGGGACACCATGGGGACATCCCTGCGGCCACGCCCACCCCTGTGAACAGCACCTGGGGACACCACGGGGACACTCAAGGGTGACATTGGGGACACCCCTTGGTGCTGCCCCCCTCTTCTCCTACAATACCTTGGGAGGGGTGGAGCCAGGGACCCCCCAGGGGCGGAGCTGGGGCTCGGTGACCTCTGGCGGCTCCTTCTCTTGCTCCTGGGGGGGCGGAGCCATGGGATGAGACCCCACCCCATCCCAACAAGCCCCACCCACTCCCCATTTAGCCACACCCCACCCTGGTCTCCACCAATCAGCAGCCAGCAAGGGTGGGGCCCCACGGAGACCCCACTCACCCATGCCTAAGCCCAGTATTTTGGCCACGCCCACCACCATTAAGCTCCACCCCCAAGCCACACCCACCTCCACTTGCATCCGTGATGGGGCAGGACTTGCCCGACGGGGGCGTGGTTTAGCCGGGGGGC